AACCAATTTGGGATTTGTCGTGAACAGCATGGAGGAGAATGACCCCAAGCCCATCGAAGCGGCGGCGGCGGCGGCGGAGGGGCAGCGGCAGCCGGAATCCAGCCCCGGCGGTGGCTCCGGTGGCGGCGGCGGCGGCGGCGGCGGCAGCAGCAGCCCGGGCGACGCGGACACTGGCCGCCGGCGGGCTCTGATGCTGCCCGCGGTCCTGCAGGCGCCGGGCAACCACCAGCACCCGCACCGCATCACCAACTTCTTCATCTCGGACATCCTGCGGCCCGAGTTCGGCCGCAGAAAGGACGCGGGGACGTGCTGTGCCGGCGCGGGAGGAGGAAGAGGCGGTGGAGCCGGCGGCGAAGGTGGCGCGGGCGGCGCGGAAGGAGGAGGCGGTGGCGCGGGCGGCGCCGAGCAGCTCCTGGGGTCGGGCCGGGAGGCCCGGCAGAACGCGCCCGGGGCGCCCGGGGCGGGCGGGCCGCTTCCCGCCGGCGGCGGCGACTCTCCGGGCGACGGGGAAGGCGGCTCCAAGGCGCTCTCGCTGCACGGCGGCGCCAAGAAAGGCGGCGACGCCGGGGGCCCCCTGGACGGGGCGCTCAAGGCCCGCGGCTTGGGCGGCGGCGACCTGTCGGTGAGCTCGGACTCGGACAGCTCGCAGGCCAGCGCCAACCTGGGCGCGCAGCCCATGCTTTGGCCGGCCTGGGTCTACTGCACGCGCTACTCCGACCGGCCGTCTTCAGGTGAGCCCGCCGCGGGGAGGCCCGCGGGGTTGCGGGGCGGCGCTGGCGCGGGAACTTCCCCAGGGGGAGAAGACACCGGGACACCACACCCCCCCCCCCCCCGTCCCGACACACACAAAGACGCACAAGCGGGGACATTGTGCCCGGCTGACGCCGGACCGGGCAGCGGCAGGGAGAAGGGACACGATCGATTTCTTAGACAAGCGGAGGAGACAGGACCTTTCTCTCTCTCTGTCTCTCTCTCTCTCTCTCTCCTTGGGGCCACTCCTCGGAGTCACTACCCACCCCTCCCCGCTGGAGTTTATTCGGGAGGACTGGGGGTGGCCGCAGGGCTGGCCTAGAAGCCTGCACTCTTAACCCCTTCTCCGTCCTTCCAACTCAGTCCAGACCCAGAACCCATGTGCAGCCCACCTCAGACCTAGACTCGCCCTGCGACCCAGTTGTCCCAGACGAAGCCAGGGAAGAAAGAGCAAGGCTCCGGCCCTTCCTTCCACCCTTGGGCCTGGGCTGAGGGGGGAGGAGCGGGGGACAGAGACCGGGAGGGACACAGAGGCGCTCTTCGCCCGGTTTCAGTTGCCCGAGCACACGGTGAGGGAGCTCGGCACCCATCTTGATCACTGCCTGGAGAGGGAGGGAGGCCTGCAGTCCCCCAAATAAAGGACCTGCTCCCAGAGGTTTCGTGGGGCAGCTCCCAGGCAGGAAAGAAGCAGATTTCGGCGGGGAGTGCGGTGGAGGGGCCCGCGGGTGTGTGCAAAGGTACTGAGTGTATTTTTCATAGACCTGGATTTTGAAAAGCTACATCCGCGTCCTTGTGGAAATCATCAGTTGCATGAAACGCGGTGCTGGGCTTGCAAACCGCCATTAGGACGGACTCCATTTGTCCCTGAGCTGGTAGCCCAGGCAGGACCCCTCTGCCCCCCTAACCCTCAACTGGTTTTGAGGGGGGTGGTTTACCCAGATCACCGCACAACCGAGTCACCCCTTGGCCGCCTTCCCGCAGAAATGTGTGTGCCTATTTCTGATGAAATCCAAATTTCTCCGGCTAGACCTGAAATGTGCTCCATTGTTCTCGCCCCCCTCCTTTGTTAATATTTAATTAACATATAGGCTCACAAAGCGGCCGGCGAGGTGTCTCGGCCCCGCTTTGTGCAGCGACCAAGCCACGGCCGCCCCAGGCCCCGCTGGCCCGCGGGAGCCCCGCAGCCCTGCCGGGGCCCAGTCGCTGGTCTTCTTGCACTCAAAACAAAACAAAACGAAACAACAACACCACCAAAACCCATAAGGTAACATTGGTGTTTCTTGGCCTTTTACAAAGAAGCAACGCAGAGAGTTTTCTTGCCGAGCTTTGGTTCTGTCTCTGCGACTCTTTAAGTGTTTACGTTTTGAAAGAAAATCAAAGAGAGAACAAAACATTCTGATTTTAGGGAGATTTCCTTCCCGCACAATGGTGTGTATGTTTTTACCGGCTGGTTCGCGGGTGCAAGAGCCCCAGCACCGGAGGAGTTTGGAGGGTGGGGGGCGTGCTTCCCTGGGACGGTGGAGACGGACAACCGCCGGCTCCTGGCGCAGGAGGCCGCGGTCGGCCCGAGCAGGTGCGGGGCCTCGCGAGGCCTCTCCGAGCCTTCGCCGAGCCCCTCGCGGGCGCCCCCGCAGCCTCCCGATCAAAGCCCGGCGGCCCGCGCGGAACCGGCGTCCTGGGCGAGCGCGCGGCGGCCACGGTGGGTGTGCGCGCGCGGGACGCGGGCGGGGGCGCGGGGGGTGAGTGTGGGTTTGCTCTAGATTCTAGAAGGCCGGGGCTTTGAGCCGAACGGCCCTTGGCGCCCCCTCTCCCGCGCCGCGGCGGCCTCTGTCCGAGTTTGCCTCTCCCGGAGCGCACGGCCGCGTCCTCGGGCCTCGGCGCCGCTGGCTCTCTGGGGCCCGGGCGCGCTCTCCACCCTCCCGGGTCGGGACTGTGCGATCGGAAACCTCCCGGCGGGATCCCTCCGCCGCCGCCGCGGCGCGGGGTGGCAGGGCTGTCCCCTGGCCCCGCGCACGGGCATGTGGGCGCAGGCGGGGACCCGGGGGTTCCGGCGGCTCGAGGGAGCCGGCAGGGGGTCCAGCCTCCCGCCGCGGGCGTCTGGGAAGGGGCCGCGGTCGGTGCTCCCCAAAGGTGGTTCCCTTCACGCACCAAGGAGCCCATACGTGCGGCCCGGACCCTCTCCCCAACAGCCTTTGCGGCCTCGGCCTTCAAGCACACCCTCGTGGGGCCGAACTTCTTGAACAGAAACAAAAAGAAAGCGCTGGGTCCTCCTTGTGAGCGCTCCCCTCACAAGGGCCTTTTCAGATGGCCGGGTCCGAGAAACCTTGCACTGCCCCAAACCAACCTCAAGTGGTGCGGGGAGGGGGTCCCAGCGGCAGGAGACCCGCGTGGGGGTCAGAAGCCCGAACCCTCTGCCCGAGGTGGGCTGGGCTCCCCTGCGGCCTCCAGTGAGGCAGCCCCAGTCTGGGGGAGCCGGGTCCCCTCTCCTGCACTGGGAGACTTGAGCGGCGGGGGGGGGGGGGGGGGGGTGTCGAGTGGCTCAGTGCGTGTGCCCCCTCTCTTCCAGAAAAGAAACAATGAACTTGGGCCCACAGGCCCAGTTAGGGGTGACCGAAAGGGGGCTAAGGTGGAGGCAGCCCCGGGGGTTCCTCCTGTCTTCCAGACTCTGTGGCCTCCTGGCTTCTCAGGCCCCTAGCACCTGAGGGGTACCCCCTGTGGGCATCTCGTGGGAATCCTGTCACTGTCCCCTGGGCTCCTCTTCCTGCTGCTCTGACTGCCCCTCCCCCAGCCTTTCTTCGTGGCCCCTCTCTTGTCACCTGCCTGCACTCTGTCCTCACTCCTGGATAGAACCTCAGAAAGGGCTAGAAAAGGTCGTGCTAGGAAGTTTTGGATTTTTGCTTTCCTGCGGGAGTTTTCCTTGGAGGCCTTTTTGTTTGTTTGTTTGTTTGTTTGTTTTTAAGTAAACTCTATGCCACATATGGGGTTGAACTCAGGACCCAGGGATCAAGAGTCACGTGCACCCCCGGCTGAGCCAGCCGAGCGCCCCTGGCGACCCTTCCACTAAGCCTGTCCTTTACCCCCACTCCCTCCCTCACACTTACACTTTTTTCAGCCTATCTTCTCGCTTTGTGGGGGGGGGGGGGGGGGACGGGTCCTGGAGGCTGTGTGGGTCCGAGCCCGGTCCCCAGGTCCCTCTGGGACTGGGTACTTTCCTCCCTCATCTCTTTGTCCCTCTGGCTCACCGAGGGGGCAGACGGGCCCGGAGACGTCCTAACCCTGTTCTCTGTCCACCGCGCCCGCCCAGGTCCCAGGTCTCGCAAACCAAAGAAGAAGAACCCCAACAAAGAGGACAAGAGGCCGCGCACGGCCTTCACGGCCGAGCAGCTGCAGAGGCTCAAGGCCGAGTTCCAGACCAACAGGTACCTGACGGAGCAGCGCCGCCAGAGCCTGGCGCAGGAGCTCAGCCTCAACGAGTCGCAGATCAAGATCTGGTTTCAGAACAAGCGCGCCAAGATCAAGAAGGCCACGGGCAACAAGAACACGCTGGCCGTGCACCTCATGGCACAGGGCCTGTACAACCACTCGACCACGGCCAAGGAGGGCAAGTCGGACAGCGAGTAGGGCGGGCGGGCGCGAGTCCAGTCTCAGTCCACGCTAAACAATGCAATAATTTAAAATCATAAAGGGCCAGTGTATAAAGATTATACCAGCATTAATAGTGAAAATATCGTGTGTTCGCTACGGTTCTGCAATATTCTATGTATATGTAATTTACAGGTGGTGTAAAATCCAAAATATCTGACTATAAAATATTTTTTTGAGTTTTTCTGTGTTTATGAGATTATGCTAATTTTATGATTTTTTTTTTTTTGTGCGAAGGGGGGCTGCTTAGGGTTTCATCTTTTTTAATCCCCTAAGCTCCATGGTGGGACATCGGACACTTTTATTTTTTAATTTCAGAAGAAGAAAAAAAAAATTAAAACAACTTGCTAAAGTCCAAAGATTTTTATTGCTGCATTTCACACGACTGTGAACCGAATAAATAGCTCCTACTTGGTCTGTGAGTCCTGCCACTTTGTTTGTGTGGGCTTGGTGAGGACAGCAGGAGGGTATGTAGCCCCCCCTGCCCTGCCCCGGGCTGGGGGGAGCACAGGGGCCCCCGCAGGAGCGCCCTGGGAAGCGGGCCCTTGGTGATGGGCAGCCCAGGCCCCAGCCTCACCAGGCCCCCCTCCTCCTGCCTTCCCTCCCTTTCCTCCCCCTCCCCCTCCCCTCCCCCTCCTCCCCCTCCCCCTCCCCCTCCTCCTCCTCGCCAAGGCCTGGCCAGCACCTCTGTGTATGCTTCATCTCTGTCGTGTCGCTGTCCCCTATCCAGCCGCCCACTGCCAGGGCCAGCTCTCTCGCCTCCAGGCACCACTTCGGGGACCCCTGGCCCAGCCTCTGGCCAGAGGCCCCTTGTCCCTCCAGGCCCAGGGAGTCTCCTGTGGCTCCATCAGCCACGCCAGGCGCTCGCTCGCGTGGGCCCCAGAAATGGCAGAGGTCTGCTGCCTCTGGGCGGGCACAGGGCTCCCGAGAGGGGAGTTGGTATTTTTTCTTCCTTTCTGTTTGTTTTTTTCTTCCTTTCCTTTTCTTTTCTTTTTTTTTTTAAGTGGCTGCTTCTGCTACGGAGAGCATTCTTTCAAGCTGCATATGCGCGTGTACATATCTATGCATTGCGTGTACACGTGCACAAGCGGGCCTGTGAGAGTCCAGTTTCCGAACATGTGGCTAGCTTGACTTTCAAAGGAACTCAGAATCCTCCAGGATCTAGAGGAAGGAAGAAAAATGTGTAAATAATCATTTCTTATCGCTTTTTGTCTTTTCTTGTTTTTTTTTTAATATACATTTTATTTTTTGACGGTGTGGTACAGTGTAAATTAAATATATTCAATATATCCCCACCAAGTACATATATATAAACAAACACAGTATCTATATATATAACTCTGCACTGTCTTCTGTTTGGTGTATGGAAAAAGAATCGTGTCCAAATGTCCATGTGCAGCCGGGACGGCCCCGGGGGTGTGCCCGTGGCTGAGGCAGGCCCACGGCTGGACCCCTGAGGACTGAGGGTGAACTTCTCTCTTTGCCTTAAACCTCTATTTCCCTGCGATACCACTTTTATTTTGTACATACTCGTGCAAACCTTTTTAAAAAGGAAACTATAAAAAGAAAAGCTGTAATTTAAAATTCTGTGAAATAACCAACTGCTGCTTAGGAAACTTCAATGAAATGATAATGCCTTTTTAGCAGGAAGCAAAGTTTTGGGGTTTTTATTTTTTTATTTCTTTTTTTTTTTTCGTTTCTAAAACGTGCATTTTACAGTTCCAATATCAAATATTTATAATCTTATGAGAAATGAATGTTTCTATTTACAACTGTGGTTATCAGCATTGTGAACATTCCCCTTGCATTTTTTGTGTGTTCCAATTCTTGAAAGTTACATGAAATAAAAAAAAAAAAACTGCTTTATTGTAAAACATTGGATGTCCAAGGTGGAATGACTAGTTTTTCTAAGCCTGTTTCCAAGTCCAGCCCCACTGCCCTGGGCAACCTCCCCATCACTCAGGTACTCCTCGCCTTGGCCTCCGTCGAGCAGGGGGTACACATGCTGTCTTTGTAGCCAGAGGTACGATTTTTTTTTTAAACAACGAAGACACTTGGAATATCTCCTGTGTGGGCACAGAACCACCGATGTCCTCTGACTATGTTGAAGAATTGTTGAAAATCCCACAGAATGCGAATCCCACGAAAGGGACAGAGACCCTGGGCCCCTGGGGAGGGCTCTCCTCTTTTGTGTTTTGTTGTTTTTACTCCTGCCCCCTCCAAAGCAAAGGTCATGGACATCTCAGGACAGATGGGCGGGGGGGTGAAGGACAGGCTTTGCCCAAGCTGACCAGAGAGGTATCTGTCTGGGGTAGTGTTTTGCGGGGGGTTGACGTCCAGGGCAGCCGGGCAGGGGAGCGCTCCCTGTGAGCCTGGTTGATCTATGTCCAAACTATCCTGGCTTGAAAAAGATGATTCTCCCAGTAAAAGAAGCTCAGAGACTAGCGAGAACCGTCTGTTGCCAAAGGAGACTGGTTAGGCGTTTTACCTTCACGTTGGCTTCCCAAGCAGAAGCTGGGCCTCCAGGCAGGAGAGTGGCCACTCCCCGGATTTGCACAGACACGCTGAGTGAGAGAGAGCTGGGGTCTCACCACAAAGCTCTGGAGCCCTAGCTGCCTCGTCCCAGGAGTGCCCCAGGGTCATCGCCAATGGGGCCCCATCACTCAGGCCATTCCAAGTGTCTCCCCCCTCCACTGCACAGTTCTGAGGAGTCTTTAGACTAAAAACTAAACAAAAAGCATGGGCACAACTTCTGTCACCCGATTGGCTTCTCTCTCTTTTTAATAAAAAGACGGTACAACAACTTTAAGCAATCATTCTTGTTTTTTAATTTATTCACAAATCATAACGTTGTTGAGGGGCAATGTATAGTTTTGTAAGGTAATGAGTTCCCCGACGTCAGGGGAGTGCAAGCAAACATCAAGCCAGCAGTGGCATGAGGAGTTTTTCTTTTTTGTCTCTGATAGGGGATTGGACCGGATGAACCCCAGACCCTCGAAATGCTGAGATTCTGGTTTTGCTCCTATATTTATTACTTTTTTTAAAAAAATTCAACATGCAATCTAAGTTCGAGACTCGCGGAGAGCCACTGTTGCACCAGCCAGCCCTCTCTCAGTGGCAAGTGGAGACCAGAGGCAGGCCTGCAGGCGAGGCAGTGCTCCTTTATGAACCCAGAGCCTGCGGGACTCCGGGCCCAGCGTGCCTTGCATCTGGACCGGGACCGAAGCCCCAGGAGTTGATGGAGCTGGACCGCTGCCAGACCGTCGCCCCTCCGGGAGGCCGGTTCCTTAAACGTTCTCCGGAGGAACGCCCGCCCGCCCGTTTATAAGGGAAGTCCTTGCTCCTTCCAGCCAATCGGCAGCCACCCCCCAGACCTGGCTGCCCCGCAGAGTCCAGGCAGGGGCCCGGGGGCCTCGCTGGGGGTGGGGATCGCTGCCTGCCGCAACCCCCCCCCCCCCACACACACACCCCAGCCCTGCCCGAGCAGAGGCTCCCGCGAGGGGTGCCCGACCGAGGGGCCTAGCAGGGCTCCCTGGGGCCCAGAGGGCCTTCCTCCTCCCGCTGCCAAAGGTGGTCAGATGAATAGGGTCGCACCCTCGGGTCTGCACGGGCCCGAGCGTCACGCAGGGTGGACCCGCCATGTGCTTTCTTCGGCGCAGACCGGGACGGAGCCACGCGGCTGTCGCCCGTCTAATCTCCAGGAGGACTGCGACTGTGGTTTTTGTCTTTTTCCTTGAGGGCAAAGGTGGAGCGGCCGGGGGCGTCTGGACCGCGCGGCGCAGGTGTGCGGGGCGCGGGGTGCTCACCACCGACGGCAGACCCTGGACGCGCCCAGGCGCTCACGGCCGCGGGTTTGCGGGCTCTTGCTCCGCTACGAGCCGTCCTGCGTCCGCAGGAGTAACATCCGACGTCCGCGGTCACGGCCCGCCCCAACAGCTCCCCAGGTGTCCCCCGCCCCGATCCCGGCTCGGCCGAAACCCGCAGCCTGCCTGGAGGAGGCGCGGCGCCCTGGGAGGTCAATGGAGACTGGCGACCTGGAGCTGTGTCGCGGCGCCACGCCCGCACCCCGACACCCGCTCCGCGCTCGCACGGCACCGCCACCCCCTGCCCCCCCGGGCCGGGACCCCCCTTTCCGCGCGTCTCCGGCCCAGGCGGGCGGAGCGCGAGGCTTTCTGCAGGCCTGGGCCGGGCGGCGTACGGCGGCACGGAGCGTCGCGTCCCCCGGACCCCGCGGGCTGGCAGGACGCGGGCGGGGGCGACCCC